CTAAAACACAGCTAAGATAAGTTACTTTGGATAGACCAAAGGTCAGTTTTATGTTATTTGATACGGTAGCATGAGTGCATGTGAACCACATCATTGTAACTTCTGTATTGTTAGCCAGGCATGGGTGAAAGGTCAATATAATATAAATGTATAATGTTATGAGATTTCAGCTATTAATTTAAACATTTGTGTTTTCATGTTATAATTTGTTCATTCTGGAACGAAAGAGGCATAATTTATGTTTATTTCCTAATTTTTTATGGTGGTTTGCGAGATTGTTCAAATCTACTGAACCCGTACACAGATTAATTACTGAAAATAACGGATAAAATATAAAGTGTTTCTTAATAAAGGTTTGATAACTATCTGGACATTATAAAGATTTCACATGTGAAATTTTAAATTATTTTGATGTACAGAAATATTTTTAATCTTAAAATGAATATTACTTTGCATGATAGATAAACATGTGGAAAGAAAAAAGACGTGAGAAGAACATTGCTTTACAAACCTTAAGACTTAATAAAAATTGATATTTTGCATTTGAAAGCATTGTAATATATACTGATAATCGTTAACATTTGCTTACTAGTTTAAACTTATAGCATGAAAACTATATCATGCACAAAATGGTTACGAGGTCGGTTTAAGGGACTGAACCCATGCTGAAGGAGTTTGTGCAGTATGTGTACTTTCACAAAATTTGGTAGACCTTTAGTAAACATTAAAAGTCTTTTGTACACAAAAAATCAGACTTTTTTCAATGTTGTATTTTTATTAAAGATTTGCTGTGAATATATCGAGTCTGTTTCATTACTAATCCGAGGGCAAATTGATTTTCGTGTTATGATTAAAAAAACTATTCTTCATCTGAAAAGTACAATCTGTACAACCTCCTAAATACATTTCAGGTGTTTGTTTTCAATAAAACTTTATATTTTTCTTGTTATTTTCTCTACCCTAACTATATGGGGTCTATCGATTTGACCGACCTCGTAACCACCATAAAAATTAGGAAATAAATATAAATTGGTTTTTGTTCTAGAATGACTACAAGTAGTAACACGAAAACACAAGTGTTTAGTCTAAATAGCTTATATCTCATAACATTACACATTTATATATATTTATTATTTTTATTATATTGACCTTTTCAGCTGTGCCTAGCTAACATTACAGAAGTTGCAATGATGTGGTGCATGTGCACTCACGTTACCATGTCCAATAATATAAAACTCTCCTATATAAAGTTACTTATCTTGGCTGTATTTTAGTGGACTAGTATTTTGTAAAATAGTCATTTCAGTTATAATACATTAAATATGTATATAAATTATTAATATTTACAAATATGTTCTTAAACTTATTTTTCTTAAAATGTAGAACAGTAAATAAAGAAGAAAAGCAAACAATTATATCTTCTAGCTACAACCTATGTACTCATTTACTGCTTGTTGTAGGTTCCTAAGCCTTGTGAAATTTCTCATGTGGAGGATGTGAAAAGAAAATGTTTTCTTGGGTTTTTATATGTACATTTTAAATAACCAAAAAATAATAATAAATTACTATATCGATACCATAGAACTCCACTATAATTTGTCAAGCTTAGTAACTAAGCTGTATTTGGTTCTAAAACCATATGAAATTTTGAGCTCACTAAAGACTTATCGTTTGAAATCACCTGTGAAAAGAACGAGGTTAACACAATAATACATAAAAATATCTGAGAAAACCACTAGGGGGACATTCTGAGTTTTCCAATGGTTATTCACATGTCATATACACAGCATGGTCACAAGTAAATAGACACCACCTTTTCAGAAAAAATGAAATTTTTCAGTCATATTTACATGAATTGATATATACACCTGGAAAAAAGTTAAGCACCCCCGTGTTTTTTTCAAGTGATTAAGATTCG